CCATCGATCTAAGCTTTCGCAATTATAGTATTAGTATGATTGGCGTCAGTGCGCAATAATAATCTATCGGAGAAGTGTGTGATTGTGTTTGAAAACATTTTTGCTATATGAAATCGTCTTACTAGGAAAACAATGACAAATGTCATGACGCAGTTTTGTTAATATGTGATGTGAATGTTTACAATAGTCATCTTTTAAACTTAATATAAATCAGGAAACATTTTTTTAATATGACTCGCAAAAGTAAATTGAATTAATTAAAAACGTTTACTAATAAGGGCTTTATAAACAATATTTTATTTTGTCATCATATAAATCGGACATTAATTTGCCCATCCTGGTGTTAAACGAATGCACGATTAATTTCATTAACATAATAACGAATCCGATAATAATGTATGAATACAATGCTTAATACTAATTTTTGTTTGTTACAATTCGAATCGTTGGGTTTGTGTACATAATACTAACGGTCCAATAAACACAACAGTCTTATGGATTTAATCTAGCTAATCTAATATTTTTCCAAGTTTATTATAGTTAAACTATTACAAACTAATTTTTTATCAATTTATTAACCCCTTCCAAGTATTGATAATGTAATATTTTATTCGTGGCCACATCGGTCCCCGAGTGGAGTATCACTCTATTATTTATAGACGCGTTCGATACGCAATACAAATTATTGTTTTCAAAGTATAACGTTTAGGGGAGCAGACTGTTTGCGGAGCGACCCTCAGGGGAGGCTTACCCTGTGAAACGGCTCAACGAATTTGACGCTTATCACGAGCACAGTATGATTGATTTCTTTATTGCATACAAACGAGATATTACTTTTAAAGAGCGAAAGGCAATCGTTGTGCGTACTATTGAAGCAATCTTTTGACAATTGAATTTGGATTCGGGTGAGGCATTGTGAGCAGATAGGACGTTATGCGAGCGCGAGGCTATGGGTGTTTGCGTGCGGTAATTGATACGAACTGACTGACACCGGGGGGTTACTTTTTCAGCCTCCGCTTGAAGAGGAGTAATGTTTTGACATTTAGCGAAAAGCGATGGGTGTGATTTGAAGAGCCCTTTGTGGAATTATACTCGCGAATGGCATCTTTAATATTGACTAATGCATTTCGTCGCTAATGGGCGTCGGAATACGACAGGTGCGTGAGCTTTGTCACAGCTCAAGTGTTATATTCAAATAGACACGTAATTATTTTAAAGTGTTGACATTATTAAAATTATCGTTATTAAAGGTTCTGTTGGACAAATTATACTTTGGAAATTGTTCTATCTCAAATAAAAATTGTAATGCTCTGGGAAACCATGCTATATAAAAATGCTATAGTTTGTTAATTAGTAACTCTTACTTTTTTCAAAAATGCACTTCGACGCATACTTACTACAGTTTACTACAGTAAAAACATTTTTTCAGTCAAGTTAATAAAACCTCTACTAAAAAATTTCCTTCGATTTCCTCTATTTGTTCATGTACAATGCGAAAGATAAGCTTAGAAAATTAACGCTTAGCAAAATAAATTGAATTGAGATGGTAGTAACAAAGGCGGATCAGACGGTCCATTAATAAATCAGTTCGCTAAAACCGTAATTGTAATCTCAAACAAGGCCCGGGGGTGCGGTGTTTGGTGTAACAACATTATTACAATAAGTTGGGAGCCGCCGCCCGCCCGCCGTCGCCGCGCCCGTCCGCGCGCCGCGTTAGTTCACACGCTCAACGCTTGCCCCTTACGTATCAGATTTCCATACCCAAGTATACATCTTTACGGCCTTCCGGAAAAATTGGATCAATAAAATTCAGATTTTTGCAAACGTTGCATAAAGATGTTTATTGTAAGAGAGATGTTTTAAAGGAGTTGTTATTGTTCGAATCAGTCTTGTGGCTATAAAATAAGTAATATCAATATCAATAAGTATAACCTGTGCATTTTATATAACTTTCACATTTTGATAGTGATTTTTAGTTCATGACGAAAAAATTTTTACAGTTAATTATTTCTTTGGAAAATAAATTAATAAGGTTAGGTTAGATTATTGATGCAAATAGTGAAAATTCCAACTTTGTAGTATATTACATACATATGTCTACTACTTTATACATTTCGCATGATTTTTAAATTTCTAAGGCGTTTTATTCTCATCCCTCCAACCTCGCATTATTGTATAAAGAAGGTATGATTGTGCCGTGTATTATTTGTCTCTTAGTGGCAAAACATATTAGGTGGAACAGTGGTGTAGGCTGCAGGCGTTGAGGCGTGGTGCAGTGGCCGCGGGCGCGGGTCCGCCCTCCATCAGCTGTTGTCTTCCCACATGCCGGCTGGAGGGGCGACATTGCTTCTTAATTACATATCTTGTTGTCCTATTTGCGCTTTGCCCAAACCTGACATAAACGGAAGAAGACTCCACTCACAGTTATTTAATGGAAAAAAGGTCTAAAAAACAATTTATACTAAACTAGCTTTCGCCCGCGACTCCGTCCGCGTGGAATTAAAAAATACAGAAGTAAATAACCTATGTGTCCTTCCAGACTACCCTCTACATCTATGACAAATATCATCGAGATCCGTTCAGCCGTTTAGGCTACAAACTCTAATATCCATTCATCCATCCATCTAAACTTTCACATCTATAATATTAGTAAGATTAGATCGCTATAAAACATTTAACAATGCTACTAAGTTTGTTATTAACTTCGAGCTGAGGCAATCGTAGGCGAAAGGTAATATTTTATTATTTTTATAAAACCGATATACTTCTGGATCGTACACCTGTTTAACTAAAGCTTGATGTAATTGAACAATAATTATTTTACGTAATCGTCTTACAGAGAACTTAGTACTTAGTTACGATAATCTCGTAAGTTTCAAAGCAGCAGAGAAACGGGACCGACATCAAATTTACACTATAGTTAAGCTTTTTAATGAGTTAATGTTTGACTTCGGTGCCTATTCCGCTCTAGGGCTTTATAAATGCATGATATAGGAACGCTACAGCCGACGGTTTCTATAGAATTTGGGAGTTCACTGTAACATGAAATTAAAACAATAGTGTATTGATTCTGCATTGGATGTATTGAAACACATGTACCTTATAGATTTAGCAATTTTGATTCTACTGAAATGTTTGAGATTGCTATTAACAAGTATTTTCCTATTTTCATTATGCACGATACCTTGGACATTCAGAAACTGAAGATGGTTTGTTTCTTAGGCTTTGAAAGAAACCATCAGGGTTTGATTCAAACTTTGCAATCAGACTTTTTTTGGTTTGTCAATACTCACTTCTAGAGTTAATAAGAATATTCATGCCGCGGCTTCATATTGAACCACTAGAAGAGTCCAATTTGCATACCAATCGTGACTAGAATTGCTAAAGCTTTTAAAAAATAAACCAATAATGCAAACAGCATATTGTAAAACTCAATGAAATATAGTTGTTAATGATAACAAAAGAGTTAGACCAAAAGCCAATCTACGACGTACAAAAGAGCGCACTAATCTCCTCATTCCGGCGACAAATGAATGCGGGAGGAATAAGTTGAGATGTGAGGAGTCGCCCTTCAGTCTGTCGGTGGCAGCGACCATATTTCCCGCTTGAGTGGACGCGAACAGTCGGCCGTTGTGCGAAAAGCCCCACTCCCGTTCGCCGAAAGTTAATAGGGCCTTTGTTAAGCGACCGCCCGACTCTTGTAATGCAATTAACACCAACAATACCGGTATCGCTAACGAATTAATTTTAACTCCCGCGATACAATAAAAATTCATAAGGCGGAACAGTTTGACTTAACATTTACACCGACAAGTATGGACGACGTTTGTTATTTTTTTCTTAACTTTCTTAGCAGTTCTGCTTGAAGAAACATTATTGTGAAGACATTCTACTAAGCTGCTTCGTTGATGTCGTTTGTATAGGTAAATAGTAATAACTTTGAAAAGTAGTAATAAAAAAATCGCTTCAAAGCATTTGATTTTTAACATTAACATTTGTGATACCATTACTTGAAATTTTACACAAAATATTCCTTGATAAGCAATCAATGGCCTACGATACGAGTGTTGTTATTACTAAGTTTAGGAAGTTCATAGGGGTTCAAATATGTAAAATCTTGCATAATTTTTTTAACTTTTTTGACATATCTAATTTGTCACTAGCTGTTATAAAAATAATGAAATGCTTAATATACACTTGACGTACTAACTATTAATAGTTTTTGCCACTAATGACTCATTTGAACTGTGATTAAAAAGTAAATAATTCATGTAATTCACTTTATAATGAAGAAATATTCATGAATGAGTCTTTGTGAGTAAGGAAAGGCAGCAGCGGCCGCGCTAGACACAAAGGCGACCACCCGCGGCTTGGGAACATCCCTGTCGCTACTTGTACACACCCAGTCGAGTGGAAACCTCCAACCAGACACACATATACCACCATTCAACATTTTTTTCTTTTTAAACTTGAAAGCCATTTTAAACGTATGATACACAACAAATGTAACATCTTTTTTCAATTGTAGTAGATCGGTAGCGGTCATCGCAAACAGCAATTGGACCGATCGATTGTCCGCATAACAACCTCTGTAATACCATTGTGATTATATCGGTAGCTTCAATGACACAATAAACTTACGTTTTCAATATCCGAAATCTTTAGAAATATGCTGCCAATACAGAAACTTACATTCAAACGACTCGTTCAATCAATTTTATGCTTAAACAAGTTTTTAAATATTAAATTTAATATTAACATATGTTATTTGTTAATTTTATTTTTGGTATCGGTAGGAATTTTGTTTTTATTTACGAAAATTTACGAAGTATGTGTTCTCAAATACTTTTTTTCTTACTTTTTGTCATGCATCAACTGCTGCATTGTATATTGGTTTCCTATTTACAATGCTAAATTGTTCAAATTACTTTTAATTGGAATTAAATTAATATTATCGATATATATTTAGAGCATAATAATAATCCGTCTTTTTATTTCAGGTGTGGTTCAAGAACCGTCGGGCGAAATGGAGGAAACAGAAACGGGAGGAGCAGGAAAGGTTGAGGAAAATGCAGGAGGAGCGGGCTTGCGGTAGGACACCGCTCCTGGCGCGGCCGCCGCCCGCCCGCTCCCCGCACTCGCCGCACTCCCCGCACACGCCAGGCGCGCACTCGCATCCCGGCAGAAGTTACACTGATGACTCCGACTCTGAGGTAGAGGTGGCTTAAGCTATCTACTGTAAAAAGTGATATATAGACTTGTAGTTCTTGTAGTGAAGTGACAGTGATACGCAATAGTGCGGACACAAACTTAACTTTGAAGGATCTTGTAAAGCATTGCTTATAAATATTATATTAATAGACATGCGAAAATAACTATAAATTAGGTATACATAAAGTAGTGTTTATTTCGTAGTCGATTATTTTTTAATAATGTATTTATATTGATATTAAGTTGTAATTATAATTATTGCTGTAGGTAAAGCGTATTGTAATAGTGATTTAAAAACTATGTACTCGTTTTATGTAGATTACACTTTTAATGTAATTAGTTGATTGAAATTATTAAATAAAGTATAAAAGCGAAACCAGTTGGAAAAAACTTACAACAGGAATATTTAGAGAATTATAGCTTCTTTCGTGTAGTTTTTAAACTTTTCTTAATAGTTATTATTTTCTTCCGATGTTACCTTATTGCAATGTGAATTAATTTATTTATTATTTCACATGACAAAGTTTCACAGAGTCACAGCATTTGTATAACTTTACTTTGCTATGCTATTATTAAATGTATAACCACGTTTTATACGTAATTTATTTATGCATAATTTGTATTAACCAATTTTGTAAAGTACAATTTGATTAAGAAATTCCTGCTATTGGAGAGATGATATTGGTAACGAAATTAATTTATAAATTGTACATGATTCAGTGAATTACTTCGTTAATTTACAATCAGTTGTATTACTTTGTGTAAATGTTACGATGGCTATTTACAAACGAAATTAATTAATTGAAAACATTATTTCAAGTACGTAATCAAAATAAAATATATTAGCTTACATATTTACTTGAAACAAAATAGTTTTATTTTTTTATCTAGCTCATCTGTGCTTTAATTACCCTCTTGAAAATGTCCTTCATAGAGCACAGTTCTTCACGCAAAGCAGATCTCAATCTAGGAAGAATTGTATTCACTTAAATAACCCTTTAAATATAATATTGCATTATTCTTATTAATAACGAGCTGTCGCCCGTAAACTTTTGCTAGCGCAAATTTAGACCACACGTTACGCAATTTTGACAGCTCGGAATTAAAAAAAAGTAGACTATAACATGCCTATCCATGTCAGCTATCCTCCAGTGAAAGTCGTGTCAAAATTGTCATGGCTGTTTCGGAGATTACACGGAACAAACACGACTTGCGGTCAGACAGACAAACATTTTTAAAATGCGATTTTCGTTATCAGTAATGCAAATACATTATCTTTCCAAAACTCTGGAATTTTACTTTTGATATTACAAACAGACACTCCAATTTTATTACATGTATAGATATGAAATCATCAATGTCAGATTAGCCGTGCTATATCAGGCTGTCGAGATGGTATCCCGCCTTCTGCATACAAATGAGATGGGATATCCAAAGGCAAGCGGCCGGCCTTGTGCATGCCATTATTGTTATATCATTAACTATGTCATCTGCACCGAAATAATACATGCGATAATACTAAGAAGCGCATTGTCAATTCAGACAACATATAATGTGTAACAACTTGCAGCTACGATTACAATTAACATAAAATAAGTGCATAAATACATCTCAATTAGTAGTGCGTGGCGCACTATTTATTATATTTGTAAATTTAAAGATAACCAAACGTTACTGATTCTAAAAATTGTGTGAAATTTGTAACCTTTTGAAACAATTCTTTTTAAGTTCTGTCTACCTTTTTTATGATCTGATTAGACACTGGATAAGTAAAACCTAGCATCATTACTGAAGTTAAATTGGTTTAAGCATGGTGATAACTTTTTTCTCGTTTCATTTTATTTGGATCTTTGTTGGCTAATGGTGCAAAGATTACATTGAAAAACTTAATATTTGAATAAACGTTTAATAAATATATTACAAATACTGATAACTAATAACGTTCATGTCATGTTATTAATAAAAAATAAAGTTATTATTGCATAACATTAAATATTAAACAGTCCTATACATTAATTCCAATGATAGTCGTTAAAAGCCGTTTTGAATAGGTACATCGTCTTATATTACACCCAATTATACTAATACAATCGTGTCGTAATGGTTATAAAAAAGGTTGTCATATATGAGGATGGTTTTTATGACATTAGAAATAGAAACTAGATTTAGATAAACCATTTTAAACATTAAATATTGGTGGTTCTTTCGACGTAGTTACAATCGGTTTTGAATATTACGACAGGATTAGAATAGTAGAACTTAGGGGTTGTTTAGTAGTAGGCGTAAGGGTAAGAGTACGCATAGGCGTAGGGGTAGGAGTAAGCTAGTGGCGCACTGTAGGAGGCGACG